CGGGAAGGGGGGAGGGGAGTTAATTGGATCCGGTCCCTGTTTGTGCCACTTGCCTCTTACACCCCGATACAAATTCTCTCCAGTTCTTCCCCTTTTCTCTCTGTGTCTCACACGTGGCTATAAAATCCGGGGAGATTCCCCCCTTTCCCCACAAATGATCAGTTCTCTCATCTCCCCCGACTTTCCCCTGTTCTCTCCATAATTCTGATTTTCCACCTTCAATTGTATAGTTTGTGACACGTTTTCTCTGCAAATCTCAAAGGTTGATATAAAATACCCTAAACATTTGCACCACTTCTCTCTAGTTGTCTATTTCTAATTGAATATGCCCTGAGATTTCCCCCTGTCTCTCTAATTATAAAATACAAAGAAAATCTCAGATTGATACCTTTTCTCAGATTCTTAAACATGGATATAAAATGGTTGCAAATGGTGCCCATTTCCTCTCTATTCATTTAACAAATATTGATGGGAAACACTCTGATTTCCAGCCTTTCTGTTTCATTTCTATGTTATTATCAAATGTCAATTAAAAATCCTTTCATGTTTGGGGCTGTTCCCCATGTTTCTAAATCCCAGTAACTTCTCCTTCCTTGGAGGGAACCTGTTGCCCTGAGTCATTCTCCATTTTGGCGGTTGCAGGGGGTTAAATTTCCCAGTGATCATATTTCCCCTCTTCTTTGAGAATCATTTCTTCCCCCCTTTAGCGCTGTTAAAATGTTTGCTGGTTAAAGCGATCAGCCACATATTTAATACACATCAAAGCCAGAGGCCTCCCCCTGCCTGGGGGATCAGTGGTTCCCAGCTAGTAACAAGAGAGTTGGCTGGACCCTTTTCTTTTCTCCAGCCGGCACGGGATGAGGAGGTCACTCTGAGTATAGCATGGGTCCAGAAGTATCCCAAGCCCCATGACAAATGGTCTCTGTGAGGGGTTGATTCCCGCAGTGCTAAGATGTAGCCACCTCTGGGGTGGATCCATGGTGGCCATTATTTGCTAGTGACAGGGCATAGAAATTTCTTACCTATTTTGGCCCTCCAGGCCTTCCATTCTCCTGTTCAAGAAGCATCCCCCAGGGCTCCCTCTGCCTGTGTGAGTGGCCAGCAGGGGGTGGTGATAACTTTCTATCCACTTCTCAGACACTGTGAGGTAACACTGTTGCTCTGGGGGCAAAGGGGTGTCTGTGTGGGGAGATTACAGCTGGAGCTGAAGGGGCATTGTGGGAAGAGGAGGTGTTTGGGTGACTGGGCAGGGGGTACCCTAGTCAGGTTGGTGGGTTCTGGAGGTTTGGGGGGTGGTTCTGATGTGCCCAGCCCTGAGGCTATGGGTCCTGGAGGTGGGTATTGCTGGGGGCCTGTTGGCTGCAGAACAGTGGGGGTGGGGATCTCTTGGGGAGGTGGGACGGGGGTTAGAGGGAGCCTGGTGCTGTGCCAGGGGCTGTGTCTGGGCTTCCCCCGCTGGCCATGCCCAGTGCACAGAGCTGGGGGAGGGAGATCTGGCACTAGGTCAGGGGGTCCCGCTGGGTGGAGGAGGGGGTCCCAGACAAACGGCATGGCAGATCCTGCTGGGGGGGGTCCTAGGCAGGCAGTGAGGGACTGAGTTCCCAGTGAGGGGTTCCCGGGGGGGGGGTCCCTGGCTGCTGGGAGCTCTTAGTGGGGGGAACCCTTTGGGATTCCCAACCTGGCAGTCATGGTGTGGTGGGGATTCCCTGGCCGGTGGGGCTTTGAGGGGTATCTGGAGTCCCTGGCCAGGGACTCTGGGGACTGCGTCCTAGGGAATATCTGGTGGGACCCTGGCTGGGGGGTGTCTGGGGCCCCTGGCTGGGGGCTCTGGGGACTGCTACTAACCATGATCCTTCTCTCTGATCAACTTGTGCCAGAGTCCTGGCTCCAAGCACTGCCCGGCATTCCCCAGTCACATGCCCTGTCACTGTGATAACTTTCTATCCGCTTATCAAACACTGTTAGTGTGAAATCACAGATTTTGCTTTTCTCCTCTTTTGAAAACGGCAGGAACTTTTGGTTCCATTTGGAAAATTTGTGCCCCCCCAGTCCTTGTTCTCGATCTGCGGGGTGAGGGAGGTGGGAAGGGGGTTAGCACTGCCACACAATGGTCTCTTCTACAGCATTCTGGACTCATTCTTTCTGAAATCTGGTTTCACTGATACCAATGTTAATCCAGAATCACTGTTTGCAAAGACAAGGAGTGACTCCAGATGGAGAGTGGGGCAAATGAGATGCGCAATTCTCTCTGTGAGGTGGGGCTCTCATTAGCTGCTCTCCCGAGAGAGCTAAGGGAGGGAAGCTGCTCAAACGCTCTGTCCCTCTCTGCTCAGGATATTGGGGTTCAGCTTCCTGGGTCACACGCTGCAGCCTCCATTGTGATCTGGGAGACCAGGCTTAGCAGCTGCTGCTCCCCCAGCGGGGATTCTGTGCTGGGATGTGACCTTAATTAAAGCTTCTTCTCTGCCGGGCCCAGGTGATGACTTTCTCCAGCTGGTACTAGCCCCTTAGGGCAGCCCTTGGCCCTGTTAATACTGAATTCTGAGCCAGACATTCCAAGTAACTGAAAGAAATGAAGGGAAAATGTGGGGGTCTGGCCTTAAAATGACTCTACACAAACAGACCCCCCTCATTTCTCGTCTCATTAGCGATTGCAGGAGCAAATCCAGCCATGGGTGAGAAAACTACCCAGGAATGGGACTTTCCTACCAGACAGGCAGGGAGAGAGGACAGGGAAAAAGAGAGAGAAGGAGAAAGAGAGACTGAAAGGGGCTGTGGGAGAGAAGAGTTTTGAGAGAGATTTCCGATCTCTCATCTGCCCAGACAGATGTATTACTGCACCCTGGATAGAGTCACTTTCCTGTGGAGAAAATGAGGATCAGACAGAGGAAAATCCAGTTCCTGACTCCATATCCCTCCTGCTGGGGTGTGGCTGCCGTGGGGTCAGTGTCTGAGGGAATCCCCCACAGTGAATCCTTTGGTTCCGCTTTTTTTCTAGCCTTGTGTTCAGAGACTTTGTTATGGGATGTGGGGAGGAAGAAGGGAGGTTAAAAATGTCTCTGTGGGCTTAGCCTTGCTGGACGGGCCAGGTCTACACTGTATAAAGAGATCAAGCCTTTTCTCAGCATGGCAGACTCAAGAGTGTCTGTCTGCAGGGAAAGGGCCTGGGGGAATCATGCTGTGAAATTAATTAAACCTTCACAACTGACCTTCTCACCCTGCCAGGCTGCAGAATGATGTCCATGTTTCGCTCCAGTTCATCCCGTCCTCTCATTGGACAGGGGAGAGAAATGGCTGCAGAGGAGTCAGTCCAGGTAGGTATTATCAGCGGGGGTTGGTGGGTTCCTGCAGGTGGGAGAGGGGCAGCAAATACACTGGAGATGGGAAGGTTTTCACAGTCTGGTCTGGAGGTTGGAGCGGGGCAGGAAATGCACAGGGTGGAGAAATGGAGGAGGACAGCATGTGGAAAACCTGCTGGGAGTTGTTTAATAAGTGGCTTAGATTCTAGGAACAGACCCATGAGGTTAAGTGGTGGAAATGACCTAATTTGTTGAACAGAAAATAACCCACCTACATGGAGCTAGGAAAACTGACCAGACTCGTAGTGCTGAAGCCTGATCTGACTAATCAGTGGCTGTTGTGAGATAGGAAGGGGGCACCCACCAGTCAGGCTTAGGGGAGATTCCCCTCCCTTCATATCCAGATCTTCAGAATGAGGAGGGTGTTGGGCTTCCTACCAGGGAGCTCTCCCTGGACACTGCTAGGGGATCCATATCCTGTATCAGTCTGTGGCTAGTAGGTGTGTGATTGATCTGCTGGGAGAGCAGAGGGGCTCTCTCTTCGTCCCCTCACCCTGGTGTTTCCTGGATGCTCTGAGCAGCGTGGGAGTGGGACTTTGTTGACTGCAATCCACCCAGAGCTTCCATTTGATGGGCTCCTTTCAGAAGGTACTGAGTGTTGGACTCTTGCTCTTTCAGGGGCCGGTGACCTTCGAGGAGGTGGCTGTGTATTTCACCAGGGAAGAATGGGCTCTGCTGGACCCCACTCAGAGAGCCCTCTACTGGGATGTCATGCAGGAGAACTATGAGACTGTGACCTCACTGGGTAAGGGTTACTGTCCCCTTGGTTCTTGGAAGGGGAAATGAAGAGTTAAGGTTCACGCCAGCCCCACAATGCCACCTCTCCTCTGCCCAGTTTCAGCATCACGCCAATATGCCAGTGCCACACACACTACCAGAGACCCTCCCCCACTGCAGAACACGTTGGGAACAGCGCACAGGAGCAGTATCACACAGTGTCAAATATCTCCTGTTTGCTCAAGTAAAACTGAGCGTTAGGTGCGGCATAATCAACAGAAGCTTCCTACCCCTGACCTCTCAAACCCTGAGCCTTCTCCACCCAAACCTGAATGTGCTTGGGATGTACCAAGCAGGCTGCTGGAGTCAGAGCTGCTGGTCCAGGGTTACGTATCACACAGACACTCCGTGCGTCCTTGAATGCTGGCTGGGGGCATCCAGAGAAGGAAGCTCAGTGGCGGTTTTAGGGTTAATGGGGCCCTGTGCTCAGCTTCATTTTTGGGGCCCCTCCTTGGGACCCAGGCAAGAAAAAGAACATTCTCTCTTATCCCCCCCCCCCCATCCCTTCATCCTCCTCCTATAAGTAATAGGAAGTAAATGAAAATGAAGTGAGGTGCCTGATTGTTCTGGTAGTCTAACCGATTTTTCCACAGACCAGTTGAAAATCACTGAGGGTCTCAGTGCACCACTTAATGACCTTTCCAAATGTTGTTTGTACTGTTAGCGAACTATTGTAAAGCGCTTTGGATAAGAGCCCTTTATAAAAAAATGTAAAAAACGTTGGGGTGCAAGGTATGGCCAGGAGTTAGTGTGGGAGGGGGCTCAGGGCTAGGGCAGGGGGTTGGGGTGTGGAGCACTTACCTGGGGCAGCTCCTGTTTCATGCGAGCGATGCAGGTGGGGATGTGGGGGGGTGCAAGAGTCAGGGCTGGGGGTGCAGAGTCTGGGAGGGAGTTAGGGTGCAGGAGCAGGCTGGAGATTGGGGTGCAGGGTCTGGCCAGGTTTTAGGATGCAGGAGGGGGCTCAGGGTTGGGGCTGGAGGTTGGGGTGTGGAGTGCTTACCTGGGGCAGCTCCCATTTGGTGTGAGGGGTGCAGATGGCAATGTGGGAGGGGGTGCAGGAGCTCCCATTTGGTGTTCAGTGTGGGGGTGAGGATGTGGGCACGGTGCAGGAGTGGGGGCTGGGGGTGTGGGCTGGGGTCGTGGGGGTGCTCCCAGCCCCCTACCCTGAGAGGCTCACAGCAGGGGCTGGGGGTGCGGGGGGTATGTGATAGGGGAGTGCTTTGTAAAGCAGTGAGCAAACGACCAGGGCTGCTAACAGGGAGTTTCGTGAGGGAGTTTGGAAGGGGAGTGGGAAGGGGGTGAGGTACTCTTGCCATTCTTTAAAACATTTAAGCTATAATACAAACTTCTTGATTTAAACAAAACCCCTATTGTTAACCTAGGTAGCTGTAAGAGAGAATGCAGACAGAAGCCCAGCAGCAGAATGGGGGCTATCCTGTTTATTGCACACAATGTAGCATGTATGATTACCTGCCCTGTGGGCGGGTGACGTATGTGTGCATTCGGTGCAAGGAGCTCCTGGCCCTCAGAGACAGCGTGGAGGCTTTGGAGGCCAGGGTGGCGGAACTGGAGGAGCTAAGGGAGGCAGAGAGGTATGATGATGAGGCTTTCCGGGACACTGTAGATTTGTCCCACCTCTGGATAGACAGCCCCTGTGCTGTTGAGGAGGATGAAAGGCCCAGGGAAGGAGAGCAGTCAACGGGAGCAGAGGGAAACCTTCCCATAGTTGGGACCCTCCTTCCAGATAGTGTTAGGGTAACCTCTTGCACTGAGTTTACCTCGCCGGGGGAGGGAACTCCAGTCATTAAGAAAAGGCAGCTGTTAGTAATGGGAGATTCGATCATTAGAAACAAGGATAGCTGGGTTTGTGATGACCAGGAGAACCGTATGGTGACTTGCCTGCCTGGTGCAAAGGTTGCTGATTTCTTGAGGCATCTAGATAGACTTGTGTAATGCTGGGGAGGAGCCGGTGGTCATGGTGCATGTAGGCACCGATGACATAAGGAAGGGTAGGTGAGATGCGTTTGGCGCGGCAAGCCTGGGAGGGAGGGAGGAGAAGCGGAGCTGCGGCGCGCTCGTGGGAGGAGGCATAGCAGAGGTGAGCTGGGGCGGGGGGCTGGGGAGGGCTGCAGCAAGTAATGTGGGCACAGAGAAACCGCTTGTGGTAACACGAATTCAGATATAACCAGGTAAAGCAGCCCTGTCCCCCGGAGCGCTGCTTTACCGCTTTATATCTGAATTCACGTTCTATAGGACCGCGTTATATCGGGGTAGTGGTGTATCATACTGTCAAATCTCACAACTTTACATACAGTGTTGTTACACATTATAACAGAAGGATATTCAGTAGATTGTCTTTTCAAATGATACCTCACAAGCCATACAGTCATAAATGAAGGGGAGTGGAGGATCTCCCTTTTGTAAACACCCAGCCAGCCAGTTTGCTGTAAAATCCCTGTTGGTGTGAGTTCTCTGCTTGCTTTACCTGTAAAGGGTTAACAAGCCCACAGGTAAAGGGAAAGGAAGTGGGCACCTGACCAAAAGAGCCAATGGAAAGGCTAGAACTTTTTAAAACGGGAAAGTAACTTTCCCTTGTCTGTTGTTCTCCGGAGAAGGCGACACGGAGTAGCAATGCTGTGTATGGCTTGAAGCAGGTATGAAAATTCATCTTCCATATGTAGAAGAAATTATTTGGATAGGGAACATTTAGACAGACACAATCAGGTTTATTTTTTTATTTTGGCTTTTGGACCTCCCCTGTGCTATCCCAGATGCTTTTGTTTGCTTGTAAGCTTTAAGCTGAACCCCCAAGAAAGCTATTTTGGGTGCTTACAAAAATTGTTTCTTTTAAGAGCTAGCAAAAGCCTAAGTTCCAGATGTATTCCTTTCCTTTTCAATTTTAATAAAATTTGCCTCTTTTAAGAACAGGATTGGATTGTTGGTGTCCGAAGAGGTTTGTGCATGTTGTTTGATTATCTGGTAGCCACAGCTAATTTCCTTTGTTTTCTTTCTCAGCTCTTTTCTGGAGGGGAGGTGAAAGGGCTTGAGGGTGCCCCAGAGGGAGGAATTCTCAAGTGCTCCTGCCTGGGTCCAAGGCTTTGGGGTGTTTTTGCATTTGGGTGGTGGCAGCATTTACCAAACCAAGGTCAGAGAAAAGTTGTAACCTTGGAGGTTTAATACAAGCCTAGAGTGGCACGAATTAATTTTTAGAATCCTTGCGGGCCCCCACTTTCTGCACTCAGAGTGGGGATTCAGCCCTGACACATACTATGTACAAAATTGATCATAATTTTGTAGAAGAGTGAACATAGAGGTACAGACTTGCACAGTGTCTGTCTGTGTCTTCCCAACATATATGTGGGTATTTCAGTCCCTCACAAGCAAGTTGTTCGGCATCTTCAAGGACCTGGGGAGGTGGTCCTGGGAATTCACTGGTTTATTAAGTGTGACACTGTATGAAATTGAGAGACACTTTATATTATTATTATTTTATTATGAATACCAATATGATAAAATTGCAATGAATTGTGCTAGATGTGCCATGTAAGGTGTCAATGAAAATGTTATGATTTTCCAAGTATGATGATTTTGTTTCTATCTTTGTATCACCTTTGTATTGTGAGTTATAGATATGTAGGGTATATCTGTATTTCCAGACTTGTGCAGTGTTTCTGGGTGACATCCCCAGACATATTGGCATCAGCGCTGCCTAGCCTGTTCGACGGCCCATCCAGGGTCATCAGCCATACAATGAGCCCATGGAAAGAACTAAGGGGATACACCTATTGAGTCAGCAAGACATGCAGGGGTATGCCTGTGTACTGTGAACTCCAAGGCTTTTCCATGCCATGTGCTGTGAAGCTTGTGTTTGGGACACAGGAAGTAGAAGCCACATGGCAAAAGGAATATACAGGGCAGCTGCATCATCTCCATTTTGTCTTCAATCCCTCTTCCTACCTCTGGTTTAACTTCTCTACAAACTGAAGCCTTGAACAAAGAACTGAATAATGTGGATGTGTACCAGACAGGCTTTCAAGCCAGGAACTCACCAATACTGCTAGGAACCAGATATATAGATTTCTGAATGTATCTGACTGCTTTCCCATTGAACAACTCCCTTTTTCTTTCTTTTATAATAAACCTTTAGTTTAGATGCTTTCTTGCTTTCTGTCTTCTAAACCTTTTAGTTTAGATTCTAAAGGATTGGCTGGCATCATAGTATTTTGGGTAAGAGCCAAACCTATAGTGACCTGGTAATGTGGCTGACTCTGAGGTCAGAAGAACACTTTGTTTATGTGAGCAGAGTTTTTAAATAACCTCTCACTGTACTGGACCTAGGTGCTGATTGGGAGTCAGAGAAGTGCAATGCAATAAAGGGGGCTGTGATTTCTTTTTACAGTTTCTCGATAACCAGCGTGGGGGATCAGAAGCACAGTTTGTGAGTGGTCGGTGAATTTAACTTCAGTGTTCACCACCAGTTTTGGGAGCATCTGCTCTGCCTTTTTCAGCCTACCCTGATCTTGGCATTTTCAGTGAGGACTGATCCCGGGCACACCAGCTCACACTAAGCACTGAAGTTAAATTAATAGAATGTTTTCTATGACAAAGTCTTATGAAATCAACTGAACTCCTTTGTTTTCTTTCATCTGAGCAGGGTTTCCAGTTTCCCAACCTGATGTGATCTCCCAGCTGGAACAAGGGGAAGAGTCATGGGTCCCAGACCTCCAGGGTTCAGAGGAAAGAGAGATCCTGAGAGCTCCCTGCACAGGTGAGGAAACATTAAACCAACTCAGAATCTATAAGTGCCTGAAGGAAACATCTGGGATGCCCTACAAAGCCCTTGGGAGGTCTCTCAGTTCATTATTGTCCCTAGCAGGGATCGCATCCTCAGGGTAAATATAGCTCATAGCTTCCTGTAGATCCTAGCAGACACCAGGCAGTAGCTTCCTCCTTCCCCCTGCGAATTTGGATGTGAAGGATAAAATGATCCCCTCCTCTCTCCTAGTTGGGGGGAGAGTTTGGAGGAGTTCAGTTCCTATTTTTATTTGACCTCTCTCAAGCACTTGTTTTCGTTTGGTCTTCCCCTTTCCATCCCTGTTTGAGGTTTCTGTCTTTATCACAGCAGGTGACCCAATGGGATGTGAGAAAGAGGAGCAGAATTCTCAGCAGGAAAATGTTGAGCAAGTGGATAAACACAGAGCATTATCACAAAGATCAAAAAGGAATGTGTCCAGGAGTTATGAGAAGGAAAAATCCTGTGAGATTCAGCACAGACCAGAAAGAGAGCAGGGAAACCAGCCAGGAGAGAAAATGGGTAAAATTATTTCCTGTCGGGGAACTCGGAAGAGCATCAAGAAAACCACAACACAGCAGGAAATCCTCATGGGAAAGAGGAAAAATACATGCAGTGAGTGTGGAAAATGCTTCACTCAAAGATCAGGCCTTTTTCACCATTGGAGAATTCACACAGGGGAGAGGCCCTTCGAATGCAGTGAGTGTGGGAAAACCTTCACTTACAAATCAAACCTTGTTCATCATGAGAGAATCCACACAGGCGAGAGGCCCTATGAGTGCCATGAGTGTGGGAAAAGCTTCACTCAAAGATCAGGCCTTTTTCACCATCGGAGAATCCACACAGGGGAGAGGCCCTACAAATGCAATGAGTGTGGGAAAAGCTTCCCTCACAGGTCAGTCCTTTCTAAACATCAGAGAATCCACACGGGGAAGAGGCCCTATG